GGGGTTGGATGTTTATCAAGTCTGAGAGAATGAAAGAATGAAAAGGACAGGAAGGACACTAGACCGTTGTTTCCACATGTTGAGAAGAATAGAAGAAGAGACTTTCCAGGATGTAAAATGATCTAACTGTTTCTCTGAAAAACAAACATTTGATGTCGGAACAAACTCGCTCAGAGGACTGCTACTCCTATTTTAGTCAAATTGTTCATCGCCAAGGCCGGATTAGTACCTCCAGGGGCCCCAGGGCACTGAGCACTCATGCCCCCCCCCCCAACCCACGTACCAACAAGTAACACCACGCCTACCCAATCCTACCAACATGACCAATATTTAGAATCTTCAGTCAATCTGGCTTGTGAAATCGCACACCTATTTGTCAAAAGCAGGGACGCAGCCACATAGTTCAACCAAAGTAGGTCTAGCCTTTTGCCCTTTCAGTCAAAAATCACAAGACAAAGATACAATGGATAAGATCTCAAGACAGTGTATGGCTCAAGAAGACCTAGGTAATATCAATCAAAACCTCAGAACAGCACCCCACTTAATGCCAAAATATGACTGGCTGGCTGTACAAGTACACGAGGAGTTTTATTTGTCACAAACACTGAGAGTTACAAAAGTAAAATATGTAGTGAAATTGTGTGGTTGCTCAAGGGTGGGGCTGTGATTCGGCTATACACCACCGCCGCGTAGTAATAAAGTTGAGTGCATACATAGTGAGACCTACAGTACAGAGACCTACAGTAATTTGACCCTATGGAAAAGCTGTGTTATTTATTGCGAAGAGTGAGTGTCATTTAAAACAATGTATGATGAGAGAGGTTGTGCCCAAAGGTAACTGTCCCCAGCGGTCAGTGATCGTGGACAATAAACCCCCAGGGCCCGACTTTCCAACCCTTGGGGACGTGATTGTCGAAGAATAGTGAAGTAAATGACGGTCCTTTGGACTATCTGTATACCTACATCAACCGTTAGTTTCCATTCTGATTTGTTCAACAAATAAA